AGGCTCTTCTATTATAAAATCCATGTTTTTATCTTTCACCATATAGTCGTATTATAATACAATATTATATATATATATATTACAAGAATCTTTAGTATTTCATTTCAATGTGTGTATTAAATCATTATCAAGCTCATTGAAGTAGTTCTTTGTGAAGATTTGAATTCAAGATCAAATATTTGCTAAGAAAAAAAATATAAGGTTTTTAAGATATCCTATCTTAAAAATCTTATTTTGCACCAAAAGAAAAAAATGCATCTTTTGATTTAAAACAAATAATTCGTTTGAATTCAAAGCAATTTCATTTTAAAGCAATGAAATCAATAAAGAACAAGGTTAGAGAGGTAATTTCAGAATATTTTTTTAGTCTTATTTTTAAATGATTTGGAAGGATATTAAAATTTTAAAAATATTTCAAAATAAAATATTTTTTTTAGTTATTTTGGATTTTAAAAATTAATAAGATATTTTTCATATTTGAAGAATTTATAAATACCATAGTACATGTATAGGTGAAATTTTTATATTTTTATAAATATATTTTTTTTAAAATATATTTTTATAAATATATTTGTTTTAAATATATTTTTAAATTTTAGATCAATTAAATAATTAAATTAAAGAATATAAAAAGTTGATTGGTTTAGAGTCTCAAATATTTTAATTTTTGGATCAATAAGAGTTTTTTGTGATTCTAAGAACTTTTTTAATTTGATTGAAGTAGAATATTATGAAAGTATAGTTGGCTTAGATATTTACATTTATTTTAATTTAGAAAGTGATTGAATGGTTCAACAAGATGTAACCAATTATAGAATATCAAAATTCAAATTAGAAGAAGAAGATGGCTAATACCCAAGAGTATCAAGAGTTATTTCTTTCAATTGATAAGTTTATTTTTTTTTCAAACTTTGTGTGATTTCTTTTTGCTTAAAGATTAAAATAAGATATATATATATATATATATATATATATATATATATATATATTCAATCAAAATATATTATTTAATTAATAATTATTGAGATTTTAAAATACTTATTGGAATTTGATTAGGATTTCAATAGGATTTATTTAAGATTTATGTAAGATTTTATTAAATAACATTTAGGATTTACTTAGGATTTTTTTAGAATTTCTTTAGAGTCTATTCAAAATTTTATTGAGATTTCATTAGGATTTTATAAGATTTTAGTTAGGATTTATTTAAGATTTTTTAATATTTTATTAAATTATTCTTTAGGATTTGTTAGAGTTATATTAAAATTTATTTAGAATTTACTTATGATTTCTATTTTTATTAATTCTTTAAAAAATTTACAATTTAATGAAGTTTTTTTTATTTCTTTAAGTTTTATTTATGATTTATTTATGATTTTTCTTGTGATTTCTTTAAGATTCTTAAGAATTCATTAAATTTTGATTAAGGTTGCTATGGTTTAATTAGAATTTATTTAGGATTCTATAAGAGTAATTAAGACCTTTATTGTTGAAATTTCTAATTTACCTTCTATAGCTAAGTAAAAAGTGAATTTTCAAGCTAAATAATATGTTATACATCAAAAATCAACTTTTAATTCTATCTTAATCATAGTTGTCTATCAAATATCAACTATACTATTTTTATAATAGATTTTGCAAAAATAAAACTTAATTTTATTTTATAATTAAGCTTATTTTTTTCACCTATTCCATCTTTATTTGACTAATTTTATGGCCTTATTAAGGCAATAAGAAAAGAAGATTTAAGAAAATTGAAAGCAAATGTTGAAACTAGAAGAAAAAAAGTAATAACTATTTTTTAAAAAATACCTAAGAAGAAGTGAAGAGTTATTAAAATAATAATATTATTATTAATAGAAAATATATAAAAGAGCCTTAATAGAATTATGGATTCAATAAATAAGCCAATACTAGAAAAAATTCAAATGTATCACCAAACATACAACATGACATTTGAATAAAGTAGATACTTAGTACTAAAAAATATCGATTCAAGTAATCATATTTTAAGATTTATTTTAAATATTCAAGAATTAAGTGATCAAAGTGGACAATATCATTTTAGCAATACAATGTCATTTGATAGAGTAATCTAAGAGAGCAATCAAAAATAAAGTATAAAATAAAATAGTATGATAGAAAGTATTATGAAACAATTGAAAATGAGAAGACCTATGTGTATAAATTAAATTAGTGCAAATAAAAATCTTTGTGAAACTTATTGAAATTTTATGAACAATATAGATTTAAATAAAATTAAAAATAATTAGAAAAATATTCTAATAGATACAATTGATACAAAACAGAGACTTTTGAGATGCAAAGTTTAAATGCTTTGTATTATGTCTTTTCTTGATAAAAGTCATTAGTATGAATTCCTAAGTTATCGGGAGAATTTACTATTGAGACTTACAAAAGGTGCTTAAAAGAAGGATCTTGATTGGATGCTTTACTAATTATTTTGATAGACCAAATGAAGAAAATATATACTTGCTAAAATTAAGATGAATTATTATCATATCTCACTTTTATGAAATATTGTGTTGTATTTTTATCATAGCTAATGATATCATATGCTTTGAAATATCCAAAATTACAATCAATTTAGGTATAAAATCTATAAAATATTTTTTTATTACTATGTAGCATTTTTAATTTATATATATTATATAATAATTTAAAGTAAGATTAATTAATTTAGATTTAATAATTATAAATAAAATAATATATTATATCAAAGAATTAGTTATAATATTTATATATATTTTAATATAAATAAGTATTAAATTTTAATTTTAGGACTTTTTACTATAAATAATATTATTGTGAATATGATCTTATCACGACTTTGGCCAATATAATTATTTGATGTTAATAGAATTGAATAATAAATCTAATTAATTAAAAGAATATTTTAACATCATTACCAAGTTTATTTCTTTTATCTTAATATATATAATTTCTATTAGATTTATAAAGAACTTTACTTTACTTTACATATAGTATTATATTTTTTATTTTTTATTATATATCATAGATAGATTATAAGTTAATTTCTATATATATATATATATATATATAGAGAGAGAGAGAGAGAGAGAGAGAGAGAGAGAGAGAGAAAGAGAGAGAGATTTATTTATTTATATATTTATTTTATATAATATTATATATATAATATAATAAGAAAACTAAAACATATTTTGTATCATTTTATTTAAAAGCATTAATGCCAAATACATATTTTTTACTTTAATGTTATTCTATTATTGCTTTAAAATATTTACTTTCAAATAGAGTATTATATCATTTATTTAGATATTTTTAATGGTTTAATTTAGCCAAAATTTGTTTTATTCTAAAATTAAATAAATAAAAAAAAAATCTATCCAAAATTAATAATAATTTTCAAATCCTTTTCTTCTTTTGCTTAAGACTAATTACTTCATATGATTTTTTTCTTTTTTGATCTCAATAATCAGACAAATCATATTTTCCATAGATTGTAGTTTTTAAAATTTTATTAACAATAGAAATACAAGTACAAAGTTATTCATCAAAACTTTGACAACATAACAACCTCAAGCAATATTATTATGGTTTACATTACTTTGTAACAACAAATTAGTTTTCAAAGCATTTAATAAGATTCTATTAATTAATGAAGAAATTAAAAATTATCAATTATTCTTTAATATCTTCATGTGTTTTTATTGTAATTTATTTTAATATTGACAATATAAAAATTATATTATTTTCTATTATATGATATAATTTTCGAAATAATTCTTTATTCCAAAAAAATTAAAATTAATGTCTTTATAATTAAATTTTATTTCATAATATTATTCTAGAAACTTTAAAAAATTATATAATATTATTTATATTATATCAAATTAAATTATATCTATACATATATAAAATATATCTATATATAAATACATATATGAGTTCTTGCATCTTAAATCATCTATAATAATTCTAAATGGTTATTATTGCAGCTAAATTGTAATAAATCTCTATTTTAGCATAAATTTTACATACAAATCATTACTAAACTGTGTTTGTGGTTATATAATGAAGCTTTTTTTAATGTATATAATGACATTTATATATAATATTCTTTAATTCAAAATTTACATACCAATTATGTAGATAATTATACCAATTGAGATATGATAATCCAATGTATACCTATTAATTTTAATGTTTCAACAATTAATAGATCTTATTCATAATAAATCTAATATATATACATATATATATATATACATACATATATTCAAATATGTATGTGTACATTATTCGAAAAATTTAAATCAATATCTTGATGTTTCATTACATTGCATTCAATGTATGAGTGTCAATTTACACAAAACTCCTGCAATCTCTAGAGATGGCCCATCAGGCGTGATCCGCCATCACTGGGTTTCGCGGGTTTTGGAAAAACAGGCCAATCCTGGAGGAGGATCCCACCACACATAGTGGGCCTTGTTTCGGAGTTCCCAAGACTTTCTGTCATTCCTTAGCGCGGAGGCTGCCATGCGAAGAGAGGGAGGGAGGGAGGGAGGAGGAAGGGAAGGGTGCCAGGTCAGCAAGGCCACGTTCCCTCAACATTCGATAACTCGGCGGATTAAAAAGGTCATCACTGCAGTGAGGTGTTGTAGCATGCGACAAAACGTGAGGCGGCTCAGTCTGAGAGAATTGATGGTTTAGGAACCCCATATCAACTAGTCTGGCGTTGTGAATAACCACAGAGTTGCTGGCAGAAGTTTAATGTACAGTCAAACCTTTGAAGCCGACACAGGGGAGGAAATAGACACGAAGACGCGGATGGGAACACTCACGAAAGTTCCTCGAATTACCGTTGCAGTGCTGGACGAATTAGCCGCAGAGTCCAACGAAGAGTCCTTTGTGTTCACAGTAGTTACTATGGATGGATGAACACATTGTAAGACCATGCCATGAGCAATAAAAAATCATAAGTTGCCGATGTGAGTTTGTGCTCAGAAGCAATACCACAGTCTTGCCACGGAGTAAGTATTGTAACTGCTTCGTAAGCTTCATCGCTTCGTTAGCTGCACTCCATCGCGATGAGGAACACGGTGCGTGCTTCGTCCGGTGCCTTGTCCCGAGAGTGGGACATTGATACAGGCCTGCGAGACCCAGTGACGATCGCTCCCCCGCTGGACATCCCCCCAATCCCAGTTCCTCAATGTAAGCCTACACATTCAATCGTATCTTCTTAGATACTCATGACTTGGATTTTGGTATCACATTTCGTGTGTTTGCTGCTGATTGTGGTTGTTTGGATGGATTCCTCATACAGGATTCAATGTTCCAGCATCCGAACCTACTCACCGAGCGCTCTGAAGTGCGACTCGTTGCTGCGCCCGTGTGTGTGTGCGCCATGCGCATGGTTTCCATCGACCTATCGGCGGGCCTTTCTGTGTTGCGAGCTTGATTTCTCTGCACGTCCTTTGTTTTATACGTTCCTAGTGATTATATGCTCCACGGTGGTTTGAGCTGTCTTGTCTTGTCAGCTTATGGTGTGTTGCTTTTAGTTGTCCGTGTGCAACTCGCCAAACATGACCTTAGGCGTGAAGAGGTGATTTCTGACCTCCGCATGTTTACGAGCATCGCTTCACGTCGTGATGTGAATTTGGCTAGTCGGTCAAATATATAAATACACCAGGAAAACTGGTCGCGGTTCGGACTGTTGTGCTTACACTTATGTTTGTTTCAGAGATTGCGAGTCGTTCCGAACTCAATTCAGTCTCGCCGTCGGTTTATTTGGCTTGACGGCCCCCTTTCTCCGACCTCTCACTGTCGTCTGCTGATGCTGATGCATTCATCCCCTCCTTCGCTCAATGTCGCCCTTGCCGTTCCGCAGCTAGATGAGATCAAGGCTATGCAAATCACTCACTGCCTTCATGCATCATGGTCTCCTCTACAGCGTCTTGTCCACCCCGCTTAGAAATTGCGTCAGGCTCTTGCACTTCAACTCTGTGACCCCTTCCACGAGTTTGCATGCAGTTTTTCGCTGTGAGTTGTGAGAGCTGCGAGGCAAATCCGTGTTCAAAGTGGGTTCATGTTGGCGGGAGGTAACGACTGCGAATTGTCGGCCTGTGAAGCGCGCCGCAGATGCTGTCCAAGGATGTACGAGGCTTGTGAATTTTTCCCGCTTCCTTGGATCACAACACGCGTCGTAGGTCGAACTGAATGTGTGTGTTTGCATGAGCATTGAGTGCACTGCATTTGGTTGTCCCGGTGGTGATGTGCACTGGTTGGAAGGGGTATGAATGTTTTAGAAGAGACTCATCGAAGTCATGATTCAATTTGTTTTCCTGCAGCAGTCGATGTGGAATGCGAGGTTTGGGTAGAGAATGAGTGAGATGAGGGTGTTGAGTGCTGTGGAACTGGGGAGCTGGGGTGTGGAACAATGGAGAGAACAAGTGTGAAGGAAAGCATGCATGTGAAGGGCGGTGTCGTTGTGCTTGTGGGACTGTGCATCTGCTTTTGACCTTAGTTAACCAGTCCAGGAAGCATATGTTCTTGTTGTATTCAATTTCACTCGATTGATCGTTTGCAACACACTCAACATAGCAAAACAGTTTTGAACCTTCAAATGATTTGAAGTGAGAAGTTGCATCACAATAACATGCGACCATCATAGATTAGGTTGTGTCATTTTTATGCTTGAAATGGTTGCAACAAATAAAAATAAAATAGTACAAAACAAGCAATAAAGTATAAATTTCTTAAAAAAGGGTAATTTTTGTTATTTGTATTGAGAATCATAATTTGTTATTTTGAAGATGAACACATTAAAGATTTGAAGGTATTTTTGTTGTAAAATTGAGTTTCATCAAGCAAATATAAAGCTCTTAGCTGTAATATCAAATAGTAAGTAAAGTCAAAAACTTTATATTTTATAAATCACTTTTATACTTTAAAGAAATTAATCAAAAAATAAATAAAACAAATAATCCACATAACCAAATATTTTGATATATAATCTTTATTATTTTATTATTTTAATATTTTATTTTAGTACAATAAAATATTACTTTCAAAATATTAAATTAAAATCTAAGTATTTTAATTCATAATTAAATACTATATATATATTATTTTATTTTTATTTTTTGATGTTCTAGAAATGCAATTTTTTAATAACAGATTGCATCTATCATTTTTTTATGCCAAATCACTTTTTTATTATTCATATTTTAAAGACAACAAACTTTAATTTATTTAAATAATAATTTTGGTTTTTTAACACTGTCAGCACTAATGTCTTTGGCTTGCTTAAAACTAGAGCCTAAAATGCTTTTGTAAATTCAACTTATACAAAAACATAGTATATAAGCACTAAAAAAAATTCTTTTAAGTTTGGTTTATTAAAATTTTGAGGCAATAAATTCTCTTAAATTTAATTAGTTACCATATCTTTGTTCTTACTTGGACTCTAATAAAACTTATTCTTTAAAAAATCTAACAAGTAATAATCTAAATATTAAAAATTACACATTAAAACTTTTAGAAGTACGAAATTAATTGAAGAAGAATAAATAACTTATTAATCATTTTAAATAGAGCCTTTTGAAGGACCATGTTTCTTTATTTTTTATTAGTTTTACAATTAGAGAAAAGCCAATAAAAGAAATGGTCAAATCTGTCTCTCTCTTTTTTCTCCAATATTTATTTAGAAATACCCTTAATATCTAGTAATATCTCTTAAGAATCCTTGTCTACTAAATAGCTTTTGATTGCTACTAAATTAGCTATTTTAGCTGCATTTTTTTATGCAACTTTTAAGATCTATTACTTTCTTTATAATTCATATGTATTGCATCCAAAAATCTAAAAAATATATTTTTTCTCAAAAAAACACCATTTAGAACTTTGAAAAAAAATTCTTTTTTAAAAACTTTCATATAATTTTAAAATATATTAAGTATAATGAATAAAAAATAAGATACTTATAAATGACTTTTTGTGGTTTTTATTGATCAAATATATTTGGTGACTAAAATTTTTTTACAAGTCTTATGCTACTAGTTTATGACTAAATAGTTGTCACAAAATAATACAACATATTAAAAAGATTATTTCAATATATTTTAAAAATTAATTATATATAAAGAAAAATAAAAAAATAAAATAGAATTTTTTTAAAGGTTTTATTATAAACCATTGATGATATTTTTAAAACTTTTTCATATGTTTTTTATTTTTATCTTTTGGACTAGTGGTTAAGCTAGTAATATATTTGGTGAATCAAAATAGATTAAGATATCTTTACTTAATAATTTCATTGGCTTAATTTGACTTGCTATAAATTTTTTTTTAAAATAATTAGATTAGATTATGTTAGCATTAGTACTTTAAGTATCCATCTAATTGTTAAAATCACGTAGAAAAATTTTAAGATTATTCTAATTTATGCATGTATCAAAAAATTATTGACTTAGTAGAGTCTAATATATTTATGTTCTAGCATTGCAATAACCTATAGAAATTTCTTAATCATAAAGAATTTTTTTAATAGCTTATTATTAAAAAAAAACACATATTGAATTACATAAATTTGTACACAATTCAATTTGATCAAATCAAGCTAAATCAATAGATTCAACTTCACTAAATATAGAATATTTTATTATCTAATTATAATATTTATTTATAATTATATCGATTTTATAGTATAATTGCTTAGATACTAAATAATAAAGAATTAAATAAAATTATTTAGTAAAAATATAGAACTTACAAGTTTTGATTTGGTTTGATATAATACACAAAGGAAAATTTGTTTAAAAAATCATTAGTATTTTTAAAATCAATAATATGAATTCTATTGACATTATTTTTAAAATAATGACTTTAATTTTCATTAAAAGTATAAATGTACAAGATTTAGAGTCATATTAGAATTATAAGAGTTCTTTCTTCTTTTTTTAAAAAGATCAAGCTTATAAATACTAAGCACAATATAAAATATAATTATCTCTTTTATATTCAATATAATTTTTTGTACAAAGTTAGGATAAATAAAAAATTATCTTTATAAAATTAAAAAATAATAGAGAAATTGTTTTTAGTTCCAAGTGAATTGATATAGTGTGTGATATAATATAAAAGAAAAAATTGATCTACATACCAAATTGTATTTATTGATGGCAAATAGAAATTATCTTCTTTCAAAGACTAGGTAGCAACAAAGTTATTATGATGTAGAGAATCAAATATTTTTTAAGCTACAATTAAGATAATTTTTGTAGACTTTTGGTTTAATAAAACATAATAGATATAACATCAAAATTCTAAGATTGAATGATATTAGAGTTTATTTTTTTAATATTGGTGAGTATGTTTCTATTTGGTGTTGAAGATCAACAAGTTCTTACTTAGTTGCCACTACATGAACATTAATCATAGTAAGTTGCTAATAGTCAAAAGACAGCAAAGGATTAAAAGAAGTTACTATGGTTGTGGCTAGGGTTTTAAGGTAGCGACTAGGTTAAGATGAATCTAGGTCTAGTTGGAAGGATGAAGGTGACTCTGAATGAAGTACATGTACTTGGGATATAAACTCCACCTTTAAGTAAAGGATGTTGGAAGTAAGAGACATCTTTCTCCACACTTCTATTCGAATACAATCCTTGTTGATGTTAAGTATTTGTAGCTTTTAGACTTCTTTTCTTCAATAAGTTATAGGCCCACTCACATTTGCTTGAGTATTTTTTGAAGTTCTTTGAAGTGGTTGTGTAAGTGTAGAGTAGATCAAGTTGTTGTTGCTGATGTTAGAGTTTAGAAGTATCTAACTTTCAATTCAGATGTAGTTCTAGAGCTTGGTTTGCTCTTACTTATAATTAAGAGCATTTTTGGTGTTGGTGTTTGGTTTTTCACCTTAAAACAAAGTTATAGAACACTTGCATTGTCCTATTTCTAAGATAGATCTTTAGTGATCTAAATTTATAGTTTCATGTCCTAAAGTTACTAATTGTGCTTAAAAGGCCTCTTATGGTGTATAGAGGTGATTTGTGAGTATAAGAGTGATATTAGAGTGGCAAATCAAATTTGAAACACTTAGATAGGTCATCAAACTTATGAGAAGTCTTAGAAGTGAAGTTGAGAGTGTTTTTGAGAGTTAGAATACTAGTTTGTTCACAAAGAAGGATTCTGTGATTTTAAGGCAGCAAAACCTTCTTGCTGATTTTGAGAGCATTAGGACTTCTTCTTACAATTTTTTTTGATACAACTCTTCCTTAGATATGGCTTCAAGTGAAGGTGAAGGATTGATAGTTACTAGGAAGTTTAGAGGAGAGAATTTCTACCATTGGAAGGTAAAAATAGAACTTTTGTTGATATCTTTGGATTTTTGGAATATTGTAGATGAAAGTGAAGAGGCTCCAAGCATAGATACTGATATAAAGGAGAAGAACGAGTTCAAACATCATAAAAAGAAGGCTTTTGGATTGATTACAACTAATATAGATGAAGCCAACTTCTCCCACATTATCTCTCACAAAGAACCAACATAAGCATGGAAGACTCTTTGCAATATCTATGAGAGCAAGAACTTATCCAACATCATCTATATAAAGAAGAAGTTCTTCACTTACAAGATGGAAGAAGGTGAAGACCTCATGGCTCATGTGAATAAAATAAAGCCTCTTGTAAACCAACTAACAATTCTTGACAAGCCTTTAAAAGAAAGTGATAGTG